ACACCCAAGAACAACTAAGAACAGTTTAGCAACCACCATAACACCTTAGCAATAACCTAGATCATCCTAGCAACCACTTAAACGGGTATTAGGGGCTCTGTCATGGCACACCGCTTTACGGTGCCCTGCGCAGACAAATCTGGCTGTGATGAGAAGACTGGAATGTAATTTGGCTTGTAACAAACTACAACACTCAAATCAACAACATAAAACACCCAAGAACAAAGTAGAACCCCTAGCAACCACTCAGAACCTAGCAAACCACCTAAACACCATAGCAACAATCTAAAACGCACTAGTAACCACCGAAACAACCAAGAACAATTTAAAACACCCTAGCAACTATCTAAACATCCTAGCAATAACATATAATGCCCTAGCAACTATCAAACTACTGTTCAACACTCAATCAACCACACAAAACACCCAAGAACAAAACAGAAGCCCTAGTGACCACTCAGAACACTCAAACAACCCCATAGAGCATCCTAGCAACCCCTTAAACTCCCTAGCAACAATCTAAAACACACTACACAGCAAAATCCCCAGAGTTAAATCAACTCTGCTCAGAGTACATATTGTCCCAATCTACAGAGTGTTAAAGTAACACTGAAGCAGAGTTACCACTGTTGAGGATTATGTGATATGTTTTCATGTCTAAAAGCCTGAGCTGTAGTTGTTCATCTTCAACATTGTTAACAGCAGGTTTTCTTTACTAATGCTCACTCATCAATTAATTAATTGCTTAATTATCCCATTAACGTTAACTCGGCTTCAGTGTTACTTTAACACTCTGTAGATTGGGACAATATGTACTCTGAGCAGAGTTGATTTAACTCTGGGGATTTTGCTGTGTAGAAACCACCAAAACACCCAAGAACAACTTAGAAACCCCTAGCAACTACCTAAACACTCTAGCAATAACCTCTAACACCCTAGCAACTACCTAGAACATCCTAGCCACTACCTAAACACCCTAGTAACAACCTCAATCATCCACACAAAACACCAAACACAGAACCCCTAGCAACCACTCAGAATGCTCAAACAACTCTATACAACATCCTAGCAACAATCTAAAACACCCAATAACAACATAGAACATCCTAGCAACCACCGTAACACCATAGCAACAATCGAAAAACACCCAAGAACAACACAGAACATCCTAGCAACCATCTAAACAACCTAGCAACAATCTAAAACACCCAAGAACAACAAAGCACACACTAGCAACCACCTAAAGACCCAAGCACAACAAAGAACACCCTAGCAACCACCTAAACATCCTAGCACCAATCTAAAACACCCAAGAACAACACCGAACATCCTAGCAACCATCTAAACACCCTAGCAATACTTTAAAACACGCAAGAACAACTAAGCACACACTAGCAACCACCTAAAGACCCAAGCACAACATAGAACACCCTAGCAACCACCTAAACCCCCTAGCAACAATCTAAAACATTTTAGAAAAAAACTAAAATCCCCCAAAACAACATAGAGCAGCCACTTGAACACCCTAGCAACAACCTAGAACACTCTATCCCAGCATCTGCATAGCAACCACACACACAATACGCTAGCATCATGGCAGCCAGGTCTGCACTGGTAAAAAGCACACACCTAGTTTAATAAACCAGTCAGTGGTTTGAGAAGGTTTTCCTGGCTCTGAATCAGAAACAGAAAGCGAGTATGTGCCAACAGTCTGAAAAGCGTCCTACACTGTCTGAGCAGTGAAAGACGCTCCTCAGGAGGACAGACTCCCGCTGCGCCTCCTCAATCTCACCTGTGGAGAAAACTCACACGCAGGAGCGATAATTACCGGTCTTCATCTCGCTCCGCTGCTCCCTGACTGAAACCCAGCTGCAAAATAACACTCATTTATCACTCAGCAGATGCAAAATAAATCGCAAATGTAAAACAGACATGCAAGAACTTTAATTTGATGAAGTTTCAGGGCGGTTTTCGTACGGAAACTGATGTCGTACTGTCTCTGTTTACTCATTACGTGCTCTGATTGTTTCTTCGCTTCCAGAAAATGTGTGACAAATTACTTTCATTGACTAATAAAGCGAGTTGTCTGAGTGTTTGTTTGATAAACCAACAGAGCAATGACAGGTTTTCATCACTCGAGGTTTTCATAAATCTACAACGCTTTCAAAAAATGTATTTAAAGGGGTCATGAACTGCCTTTGTTTTTTGTTTTATTTTGTACTGTTCTCTAAGTTCCACTTATAATGTTATAACATTTTTTACATCAATCAAATATCATAATTTACAAGTAATAGGCCTAAGCTATTTTCTGTCCTGTTTTTAACCCCCCTCATCAGAACGCTCTGTTTGTGTTGGATAGTCTCGGAAGTAAACGGCCACTGCTATGATTGTGTACTCTCCTCATAGATGGACGCTGCTGTGATTTAGGTCAAAAACGCATAAATACTCGGTACAAACGATCTGTAAGAAGAGACAAAGCAATAGTGATCACGTAATGAAAACAGTTACTCACACTTGTGTTGAGACATTCCTGTCAGATCCAATATACTTGGCACAGCATCGTCTTTTAGTTTCAATCTTTTTGAAAATCCTGTTGAATTGTGCCTTGTTTGTAAATGAATCCACGGTAAAATGAAGTGAACAAAGGACCGAGTTTTTACTGATGCGGCCTGGATCTTCATTAAAAAATAAAGTTCATTCTCTCTTTCCTAACGTTGGGATCAGAAGGAAGGCAATGCAAAGGCTGTTTTTCCACTGAACAGCGTCTTGTTGTCTTCAGAGCATCTTTATCGTTTGGTTTCTGTGTAGACCTGCATTCGCCTCTCTTGTAAACACTGCATGCGCGAATCGGTGGGCGGGGCTAAAGAGGCAGCGATGTAGAAGCAGGTGTTGATCTTCTGCAGAGGCGGTGCTTATCCACACTATTACATCATAGAGTAGAACATTCCATAAGCTGTCGTTTTGGCAGACTGCCTTCAATATAAGCTGTTTTTAGACTAACGAAAAAGTTTTGAGTTCTGAAACTTACAGGATGTTTTTATAGTACAATGACTTCTTATATGTTAAAAGATCAAGGGAATTTCTCAGTTCATGACCCATTTAAGAGACAAAAAGTGAAAGCAATCCGCTGAGAAAGAAAACGGTCTAATATTCCTGCTGTCTGTCATTTATGTTAATCAAACAACAAAAGAGAGAAAATCTCTCACTGCTCTCGACTAAATCACTTTTGTAACTTTAATAAGAAGAATTATATATTTAATTTACATAGTGAAGAATATGCAGTGTTTTTTTTTTACATTTGATTACTTTATACAATGTATGTAGCATTTTTTGCATTTTTTGTCCTATTGCTTGTAATTAGTTTCTTATCCTTATTTAATCGCTGACTGTTTACTTTTCTTTTTAGTGAGCTTGAGTTTTTTTTATTTAGGCTAATATTAGTTTTTTGTGATATATTAACACTGGTGACAAGAACTATAACATTTCTATGGTATCAAAAATTTTTATATCATAAAGGCCTTATTTAAAGCAAAAATAACTATATTGTGATATATATCGATTTCGTGAAATAAAATTACTCATATCGTGATATAAGGGTTTGGTCATATCGCCCACCCCTACATGTCACCACCAAGTCTGTTTGTTCAGGTTATATATATATTGTAAATATACAGAGAGCAAATGTTTTGATCAAATCAATGAACGTTAATATATTTTTTGAGACCATATACAGTATATATAAAAGCGAAAGAGTGTGTGAAGATGAAACTTTGAGGAGGCTCTTGAAGATGTTTATGAGTTTATGGTCCAGCTGATCCCCGCGCAGCAGCTGTGGGCTGAATGTCATTTAAACACAGCAAACATGTGGCACACGTGCCTCGGGATCAACAGATACCCTTGTTAGCACTGAGAAGGAAGTGAATGATAAATGGGACGTTTCTGTAACATAATTATTGTCTTTTAATACAATAGGTCTCATGGACTGCTCCAGATCACTGCGCTCAGTGGCTTTAGGCTCCTCCATAATCTAACAAAAGGACACTTTATTGCTCAGAAGTTGCTTTTTTATAGCTCACGAGACATAATTGAGCTCTCGTTTATCATTAAACTTCATGTCAGATGTTTCTCCTGGTAGTCTTTAGGCTCTTTGACACAAATGAGATGATTAGTGCTGACAAACAGCAAATCTCATGAAAACTGGCAGGAACGGGTCATATTTCACCTCGAAATCACAATACTAGAAATTAAAAAATTACATTTGACACAAATTAAATTAAGCCAATCGTTAAAACCATTAAATTTTTTTATTTATTTTTTTTGCATTGTGACATTTTCATGACAATTAAGCACATTTTCATCCAAAATTCTCACTGCTGTAATGCAAAAAAACTACATACCTTGAAATAAAATCGCTTTTGTTCAAACACACTATAACACTTTTTTTTTAATTTTATATTACATTTTTCTAAAATAATAATTAAATAAAAACATATCAGTTCAAAAATGCCCATTTTTAGGACCATTAGTACTATTATTATTATTTTGTATTGTTACATTTTCATGACAATTAAGCATATTTTCCTCCAAATATAAATAATAAATAAAAAACTAATAAGAAATAAGAAATTAAAAATAAATAAAAAAAAGTTTTTTTTCTTACATAACTGTCCAAAAAATGCTTAATTTCATTTATTTATGAGATCCACCCAAAGAGTTTACAAGGAAAAAATGTTGACAGCACAGTGCAGATAATTTGATAATTATTGAGACAATCTGAGCACAATTTGAGAACTCCTTTCATACTATCAATGAGACATGAGATTTCTAGAGCTATTTTTCTCAGGAGAAACATCTCTGCTTACTCTGAAAGCTGTCTAGGAGAAACATTTCAGATATTTACTATGGGTTCAGCTGTTTTCCGGAAGATTCTCAGATTCTGTGACCCCTGAATAAAACTGAAACCCACCGTGGAGGTTGTGAGCGAGAGGGAGGCACTGAAGGAGAACCGAGTGAATGCAGCACAGCTTCTTCTGGAGCTTTACCGCTTCTATAGAGCTCAGGATCCCTCTGGGCCACACACACACACACACGCACACACGATCCGACCTCCTCCTCGCTGTCTGACAGCACTCCATCAAACCCAGGCCGGCCTCGCACTCTTTGTTTCCATAGAAACGGCAGTCTGTGAAAAGTACAAGGAAAAAGATGTAGTGAAAAAGAAGAGCAAAGACAAACAGGAAACAATAGTTGATGGACTCAGTGTGGTATCAGAGGGAGGAAAGACACACCGACTGGAAACATGACGCTTTACTGGGAGCCTGATGCATCTGAAACACGGTGGGACAGCTGAGGATTGAACCCAAGCACAGATTTATTTCTAAACAAAAATACTGAGCAATGTGACAAGACATTAAAACTCAGCAAACCTGCCAGGTTACGGAGGAAAAGAAAACCTGAGGCCTTAATACACCAAAACTAAGGAGTCTAACAACATACAAAAGGGCAAATGAACCAATCACAAACAAATTAACTTAGACTTGAAACTAGACTTTCACTATTTAGTGGCAATACAATGACAATACAAACCACACCGAACACAAAAAAGAAGTATGAACATAAAACTGAACTTCAAAATTAAAGACATGACATGAGAACATCATAAACCCCAAAAAAATTCATTTCTGTCTTTAAAGTTCTCAAAATAAATAAATAAACAAATTAATTCATTAATTAATTAACCGTTAACTGTTTAATTCACCTGTTCATTATTTAATCAGACTAAAAAGTTAATATATTTTAAAATAAAAATGGTATAAAAAAATCCAAATATTTCCAAAATGATAACTAGACAAAAACATTGCATACTATTGTTTGAAATGGCGCTTTTGAGATTTTAGGTCATTTAGATCTTATTTATGTATATATTTCCTCATCATTTGTACAAGAAAATACGATAACAATAACTAAATGGCAACTGCTGAATTAAACATGCATAAAAAAGGTGACAAAAATATTGCATATTACTTTGAAATGTATGTTTGCATAATGCATAATATTTCATATATCATTTTTAACCCTACTAAGCTTATTGAAAAGGGCCACAATTTGGCTTTTCAGTTAAATTAAATGATATAAAACATATTTCCCTAAAGTAGTGTCAATAATATTCTGAACTTCTTTTTCGGATTTTAGGTCATTTAGATCTTATTTATGCATAAATGTCCCCCTTTTACCATCATTTGTATAAGCAAATATGATAAGATAATTAGATGCACTTGCTTAATTTAATATGCATAAAAAGATGACTGAATGTTGCATAGTACTTTTGGAAATGTTTTTTGCATACTTGTACATACATGTCTTTGTATACTGCATACCGTTTCATATATTTAGACCTTATTTGGATATCATTTACATCTAAATGCATCTATTTCACTATCATTTGTACAAACAACTTTGATAACTAACTAAACATGACTTGCTGAATTTAATATGCATAACAAATGACTAAACGTTGCATACTACTGTTTGAAATGTTTATCTTTGCATACTGCATGTTTCACATACTATCTTAACCCTCCTAAGCTTTCAATATATGTTCAATATATTTATAAAGCACATTTAAAACAACTTTAGTTGACCAAAGTGCTGTACATAAAGCGTAAACCTAATTACAACATTTAAAAAATGCACAGACCTAATCGCAGCATTGATATTACATAGATTTAATTACAACAGTAAAATCCATATAACCTTAAAATAACCCAATCACATATCATTAAAAGCACGGGAGAAAAGATTAGTTTTTAACAGACATTTAAACTCAGACACTGTAGAAGCAAAAAAGGTAGTTGTCACTGGGGCAGTACCTTTTCAAAACAAACACCTTTGTACCTTATTTACCTCTAAAGGGAGCATACTGGTACCTTAAAGGTACTTATTAGCACCTAAGGTGTACATATTAGTACCTAAATGCTACACATTTGCAACTTCTAAAAAGGTACAGCCGCAGTGACAGCTTTTTTACGTTTTTCTTGAGAGCATGTTAAAAATGCACTTGCACACGTATGTGTACTTGCATAAAGCATGTTTCCGGCCTCACGATATTTAGTGGCCGCTTTCTCTGTGAGTAAGAAGAAGTGTGTGAGAGGTGGAGCAGCAGAAGTGAGTTTATCGCCGGTGCTGATGGGGCGTCTGTGTGATTGAATGGTGCCTGAGCTTGTGCTGAGAAGAGCCACAAATCTCCTCTGGACTCAGCATGTCTGACAGCAGGTGCTAAAAGAGTGTGTGTGAGTGAACTTCACTGCCAGTTCTTCAGAAACACACACTCCAAGGATGCTGTGATATTGAGCGCATGCATGCATCGTCTCGTTTTGTGTTGGCCGGACGTTTGGCTCAAGCGGTGTGTTTGAATGATCTAATTGTCCTTAGGAGCATGAGACAACACAGTGTGTGTGTGTGTGTGTGTGTTTGCAGCTGGACGTGTTGAAGTATTTTAAGGGCTCTTGGCTGAGGCACATCACGCCCTCTAATCTCCCAGCATGCACCCTCACCGCCCCTCTAATCCACTTCCTGCACTTTGATCCCTGATTGGCAGCGTGTGCTGGTGCGTCTGAGAGTTTCTCCTCCAGCAGCACCGCTGCCAGTTTACCGTATTCACAGTGTTTCTGGTGGGGAACTTAACAGAACTGTCTTGTGTCTGCTGCCTACAAAGGGAGCTAAAAGGCCCCCGTGGTGCTTTTTATGAATCGCTAACTCATGAAAATGTAGTTTACTTGAGAAGGGGGTTCACATTTATGACCTAATATTAATTAGTCTACACAGAACCCAAAGTGTAGACTATAAACCACTTCAGCATGGTTTACTTAATAGATAGTGTTTGAGTATCTGTTACTGTATACATAATACATATTAATGTTTAATATAATTTCTTAATATATACATTTATTTTTTTATTTTTTTATATTTGTACAAATAATGAATAAATATTACATATTGCTGTATTCATTTTATACATATACATATAATCATATATTAATTTAATACATATAATCATATATTAATATTAGTCATATTAATATTAATTATATATTTATATATACATAAACTTGTTGATTTTTAGATATTTAATAAATAACAATATTAAATACTTTAGATTTTTTTTATAAATATATATTAAATATTTTCATATATATATATATATATATATATATATATATATATATATATATACTATTACCCTTAACCTTAATTCCACCGGCACCGTTCGGCGCATAGGGCGACAAGCGTTCTCCAACAGCTTCGATCCGTGGCTGTGATTTCAGCCTCGTCCCATGGAATGCCGACTGCTCACAGATCTTCCATAAAAGTTCTTCGCCTTGTGCAGGCCGCCAGGATATTGCCATCTTGAGTATCTGATGATCAGGAAGGCGTAAGATGTGTCCGGCGAAACGAAACGGCGTTCCGTGTCTGTCGCAGAGAGGGGCTGTGTATAGGCGCAACGGTATACTTCCATGTTTGTAACATGGTCCCGGTAAGTGATCTTAAGGATGCGTCGCAAACAACGAAGGTGGAAAACATCGAACTTTCGAGCGATGGTTTCAGTCATCTTCCAGGTCTCGCATGCGTGGGTCACCGTCAGCATAACGATCGTAGCCAGGAGTCGCAGTTTAATCTGCAGAGAGAGGAAAGGCAAGTTCCAGATTGAGTCGCTGGAACACGGCAGATGCTTTGCCGATGCGGCAGATGACATCTCGTTCTGCATCCCCATTTGAGACGATACTGACAAGATAAGTGAAGTTTGTAACTTCCTCCACTTTTTTTCCGTTGATTGTAATCGGTACTCTCGAGTTTACATAGCCAATGCGAACAACTTTGGTTTGGTTCTTTGATTTTCTAGGGCCATAGTGAGGTCTCGTAGGGCAGTTTGGGTCAGGCCGAGAATGACAATATCATCGGCAAAGTCAAGATCGGCAAGGAAGAGATTACCAACTGTCCAAGGTATGCCGATGTGTAGGTGGTTGATGGAGTGGCGGGCGACAAAGTCAATGACAAGGAGGAATAACATCGGTGAAAGCACACAACCTTGTCGTACGCCAGTTTCAATCGTGCAGAAATCAGTTATTCCTTCTTCCATCCGTACACAGCATAGAGAGCCTTGGTAAAGGTTGCGAAAGATGTCTACAAATCGAGATGGAATTCTTCCATAGCATTTTTCATCAAAGGCCTTAACAAAGTCAATAAAGTTCAGTGAGATCCGTTGTTGGTATTCCAGCGATTGTTCAATCACTTGTCGCAGAACATAAATCTGCTCAATGCAGGATCGGCTACTTCGGAAACCCGCTTGTTGATCTCTAAGGCAGGCATCGACAGCTCATCGGAGGCGGTTTAGAAGGACAATAGAAAATACCTTTCCAGGTACTGATAGAAGGGTAATAACCCGCCAGTTATCACACTTGGAGAGATCGCCTTTTTTGGGAGCGTGATGATCATACCTCGTTTCCATTCCTCAGGGACAGCTGAGGTTGCCCAGCAAGCATTAAGCAAATCTGTCAGGGCATCAACAAGGCACTGGTCACTAGATTTAAGTAGTTCAGGTGGGATCTCGTCCAGGCCTGCAGCCTTGCCATTCTTGAGTGCCCGGATCGCATTTTTTGTTTCCACTGCTGTGATCGTGTCAAGGTTTACTGGCAGATCGGGTATAGGGCTTAGGAGGCTGGGATCGAATGCTGTGGTTGGCGCTGGCTGGTTTAGGACTTCCTTGAAATGCTCAACCCAGCGACGCTCGCGTTCTTCTTGAGTAGGAAGGGCCCTGCCGTCCCGATCTTTAATCGGTGCACCGCTTCCGGATGGGGAGTTGGTAAGCTCTCGAACGATCCGATATAGTGTGCGTGTATCATTTTAGATTTGCAGCTTCTTGTGCCTCGGTTCCTTTCTGATCAACCCACTCGCGCTTGTCACGTCTGCGACTTCGCTTTACTTGTTGATCCAAGTCCCTATACTTCATCTCCATGGCTTTGAGTTCTGTATATACGTCTGCTTGATCCCGAACTTGCTTCGCATGCCGCCGTTCATCTATCAATGTCCATGATCGAGGTTGGATCCAGTGTTCTCTAAAGGTGCCCCGTCGGCGACGATGGCCGCCTCTGCCGCGGTTACCAGAGTGTCTCGAAACTGCTTCCA